TTTCTTTCACTTTCAATAAAGGAAAAAACTTGTACCTCAGAGAAAGAAGATTTGGTACAAAAAAAATGTGTGGAAAGTTAAGAGTGCAGACCTTTGTTTTCAAGCGAATTGGCAGACTAGTTTTCTAAGAATGGTATCATCTTCATGACTGAAATCTCCAAAGGACCTCTTTCAGTCCACTGAAAGAAACAAATAAAAACAACACTAGAAATTAACAACGAGATGGAAATTACATGCAGAACACGGCTGTCATAATTTTCATTAAAGTAAGTGGAAAGTTCAAAGTAGGTTAGAATTGAGGGGTATCTCAGGCTTCGTTTGGGACAGATTTTTTATTGCTTCTTAAAGTAACTTTTTAGTACAAAAATTAAAATTTTACACTAAAAAACTGCTTTAAAAAACAATAAGAAAGCTGTCTCAAACGAAACCTCGGAATAATTCTTCTCTACGCTTCTACAGCATTCTTATTGTTGAATGCATGCATGGTTCAACCTTTTACTTGTAAAGAACCACATTATTTAGCCTAACACTGCATTTACTTGGCTTGACACAATTGAGCAAGCACAGAATGTTATTGTCTTATCTTCAAATTCATGAGATTAATTAAATTGGAGGTTCTCTTCTGATGAATGCATAAACGTCAATGTAAACTGCTAAATAAAAGAATTTAATGGTCAAAATTGGAGGTTCTCTTTTGATGAATGCATAAACGTCAATGTAAACTGCTAAATAAAAAAAGTTTACTGGTCAAGATATTAGCACTCCCAAGATTGGTTCTTGAGGGATAACAGCATATCTACAACCTTCAACGTCACAAGAATTTCACCCTAGTATGAGCAAGAAACTGTTCAAGGCGTCAAGGATGAGCCTTCTTCAACTTCGGAGGAATGTCATAATTTAGAAGTGCTACATGCAAATTTTTCATCATTGTAAAGGATTATTTTTAAGATTTTTCTATAGGGTATTTTTGTAATTTTGTATTGTTGTTTTGGGGGGATTGGGTTCTATTTAAATCTGCCTACTGTTGAAGTTTTTGGAGAACAGAGGGGGGGAGGAGTTTATAGTGGAGTCCTGAACTCTGCCACAATTGATAAATCAAAGCACCAATATCATTATCTGCAGACTGCAGCCTTACTAGGGGCGGCGCAACAATTTCAACAAGCGAGAAAACCCTTGGTGGTAATGGAAGGGGCAGCTATGTTGACCAAGAACTATATGAAATCCACATCCAATTGTTTGGGTGTTCTTGTTTCTTTTTTCCATCTTCATTGCAAGATTCTTGAAGATCTACATTTATTTAGAAGGGAGAGTGTCTTTCTCGGGTGGCTAAAGATGGTGGATTGCAACAGTAGATAGAGAGCCATAACATGGAAGAACCACCAAAATTGAAAGGAAATAACAGTTGCTCTAGTGTTGTGGTTTTTTTTTCCCCCTACTGGAGAGAAGCACGATAATAGAAAAAAATGATAAGACGGGACTTATGAAGGATCGACCGTGCAGAAAAGCCTTCAAGACTGCAATCTTCTTAACGCAATAAAAATTTATCATTAGATTCTTTGTTATCTTATTTTCTTTATTAGTTTTCCTATTTTCTTAAGCAATGATCCACCGACCTTTTCTTCTTGAATTTCACTGCAGGCTACTGGAAACTCTGACAAACCTCCGAATATTGGCAACAACCATTTGGATATCCATGGCAGAAGCTTGCAACCAAAATCATGAAGCTCTCAGGCAAGGAGCTAGGAGTGTAGGGAGAGGTTCTATCAAGTTGTGACATTCGTTGACATTTCCTTGGCTTTCTCCCTTAAGCTTGAACACTAGAAGGACAACTAGAACAATTCAAAAAGGAAAATTGACCAACCAATTTTTGGCAAAAAATTCATTTCCAGTTGGAAAAATTATATGGGAAAGGTGGGGTTCCTGAACTAGTTATTTCTTTTCAAAGTTTTTGGTAATCTTTATTTCATTATTTGGCCGAAGTCATTTAGTTTCTTAAGGTTCTTGGAGACATTTAGTCTTGTCAAGTTTAATTAATTATAAAGTGTCTTGAATATCACTTAGTGACATCTAAAAGGGGGAGTGTAGAATGGATTATGTAGATCATGACTTGCAAAAAGTTGCTAAATCAAATCCCAATGAAAAAGAGAGCAATTTGAAACTAAATTAATCATAAAATAAAACCTTTTCAGTTGCAATGCTGCCTGCCCTAGAAAAGTCATGCTCTTCAAATTGTTTAAACAACCTGAAAATGGCAGAAAAGGTAATAAGCAACAAGGTACACAAATTGGAGCATACATGAAATTAAAAAATAGTTAGCTGGCAGAATTTCAATGTAACCTACATGCAAACATTTCTACAATAACTTACAAGCACATTTTAAAAATAGCACATGCTCTCCCATAAAATTTTTCATCCTACCAAATGCCCTCAATTAAACAAAAGAAACAGTTTAAAATATTTTGGTCTTCTAAATTAGAAATTTGTCCCATTACATCCAAAGAATTATTTATCCAATATTCTGAAACCTTCTCAAGAAATTATTCATTATAATCCACATCACATGAAAATTTAGTACTTTATTTACAGAAGGCCCCACTTTAGTGAACCATAAAAATACAAGTTAATATATTGAATTTCAACTGCAAGTTAAAAAAGGTAATAAGTAGTTTGAATTTAAAATAAGGATGGTATGTAAAATTATTCAAATTGGAAGCCAACCAGATGAATTTCAAATTCTATTTGAGATCTACAGTAAGGGATAAAAGAAGAGAATGAATAAGTCTAGGAAAAATTTGAAAAAATGGGCCCAAGAATTCTTGTCAACTGTCATTGCAAGGAATATTTTCTATCTACTTGTCCTATTGATTTTGATTTGATGAGGCCAATGATAATGATGAATTGCTATTCACTAAATAGGGGGCAAAATGAATAAGCAGCCAAAAAGCCTTTAAGCCAGGGGTTATGGAAGCCAACAATATAAAGAAAGTCCTCGGATAGTCCAAAATGGCTTATCCATATTAACATTTGCTTATCCTTTTTGTTCTACACGTGTAGTCCAAAATTTTAATAAAAAATAGATTTATATCACTCAGTCTAAATAGCACACTTAAAGCATGCTTGGGATTGGTGCTATTAATGACATTGAAGGATAAGAAGCTATGAAGCACTGACAAATAATAGACAAAAGGAATGAGAGGATTAGGTATCACTCAAGGCAGACTTAGAATGCCTGAAATATTCCAAAAGAAGGGGCAGTGCATGTAAGCCTACTTTTCTATCTAAGAGAGCTGTTGAAATAGTTCTCACAATTACCTTAAATAATACATTGAAGAGAGCACAATAAAATCCGTAGGGTAATCTGTAACATCTCCCTTGCCATTACATAATGAGACTCCTTGATTAACTCCATTACATAATGAGACTCCTTGATTAACTCCATTGATTTAATCCAGTTTTAGAAGTTGATTCTTCAATGTTTTATAAAACAACATGGACACTAAGGAAGAATTTACACAACCTTATCCATCATTCATATGACCTCCAGATTATAATGATTAGACTTTTATTTTGATAAATTTCATATTCTGGAAAATATTTTGATTATTAGTACGTTTTTTAGTTACTAATTGTTATCTTCATGCTAAAAGGAATGTTGTTATCCATTATCATTGACTTAGTTCCTAATTTCATGTTCGTGTATGACAGCTTAATTAACATTATGCTCTCACATTGCATAAATCCATTTGCTTCACCATATTTATATTGTGGACAATTGTTTTGTGGCTTTTCTGATTAGCATATCAATTAATTTAACTTTTTTGTCAATTCATATTAATCAAACTAGTTTTAACACTCACTTATTATATTTATTAATTATTATACAAAATAATTCACCTGTGTGGTGTCACACATTTAGGCTGTTTTGATTGAAATGTGTGGTAATACATTTAAGTGTAATATTATTTAAATTATATTTAACACGTAAACACTCATTGTATTGGTTAATTACATCTTGTACATTTTACTTCCAACAATTATACACATGTTTGTGTATTTATATAACACAACTGATTGTTAAATTATTGCTTCAGAGTTTACTTATTTATGAGGTTTTTGAATTGAAGAATTTTGAAAGAAGTTCAAAAGAGCCCATACACATCCAATGCTCCTCCCCCTGGTGTGAGCTACCCCAAAACTTCGAATGCAGTATTAACAATGAAGTAGCATTCATGTTTTACAGATAAATTCGGACTTTTTCCTAGACCTTTCACACCAAAATCAAGGTTTTTTTTCTCTTGCCTACATTGCAAAGTAAGATAGGATGTGGTAGAAATAGAAATATCAAGATCTCTATTGAATGATTAACTTATTACGATAAATCAAAAAGCAAACAATGAGATACCCACTAACAGAATTTAAATTACCATAGTACTTGTAAGTTTAAAAAACAACAATAAAAATCCCTAGATATATACAAAAACATGAATTTATAAGGCATCATCAAACACCAAAGAAATACCTCTCAACCTCCTCCTTTGGAAGCTTAGTAAAAAACAGTCCAGAATCACCATGGAGGAACTGTTAAAAGGAGTAAAATATAAGCCGATTACCAATAGAGGAAACTGTTGGCAGAAGGACAGGATTGTTCTACACCTTGGCAAGCTTGTGAATGCCAGGCTTAACCTCATCAGCTGCTGAGCGGCCCAAAGAAACTTGCATGACTTTGTTGGATCCAAGAAAAAATCTGCCAAAGCATGGCATTCAGCTGCCGTTATGTAATCGGTTCCAACACAATTAACAGAGAAAAAAAATTAAATTTGAACCTGCTACTTGGCTTGAGCTGTTCCCTGAGCTCCTTCAACTTCTGATTCCTCATATTCTCAAAGCTGAAGACGTAAGCGTAGCTATAATCCTCCAGAGCTTGTCTTATGGAATTCACGATTACTTCCTTGTGTTCTCTCCCCTTCTTCTTGGTTTTTGAAAGAGTCACTGCATTCGTTTAACGCATTCGTGGATTATTTTGAGGTTTCCGGGTTTAAGCAAGATTGGATAGGGAAAAAAATGGAAGATTTCAATGAGAACTCACCAGGACGGTTGCGCTTTGACTTAGGCATCTTGTCGGCGCAGGAATTAACTCGTTTACAATGGGATCGCCGGAGCCACGGCAGCTCTCAAACCGCCGTCCTCTCGGCTGAGTTTCGGGCTTTTTGGCAGGACGAAGCCAATGCTGAATAAACCCTTGGTGGGAAAGATACAGGCCGTTTGATCCATTGAGCCGATCTCAACCGTGTCTTTAAGTCTAGGGCTCAGAGTGACTCTCTACCGTTGGATTGGAAAATAGCTCAAATAGTACTTGGGCAAAAATCAAAGGGCTCAGATTTATTTTTAATTGAATTGGGCAAGTATCTAATTAAGCTGAATCAGTAATATTAGCTAAGATTTCATTTGGGACAATTTTTTTACTACTTCTTAAAATAATTTTTTAGTAAAAAATTAAAAACTTTTTACTAGAAAGCTACTTCAAGAAGCAAGAAAGCCGTCCCAAACGAAACACAAATCTCCTATTAATAATGAAAACATAAGAAAGATTTACAATCATATCATAATATGGTTAAGTATTTATATATAGAACAACAATAATCTTTTATCTCACTATTTGAGATTTGTTATATGAATCATTTTTTTTCCAATGTATTCTATTAAAATTTTATGTATTTATATATCAAATATCTAAATCTTTAAATTTACTTGTTGCGTCCTGGAGTATTCGCGGCGGTAGAGAAAT